CATCACTCCCAGATATCGGATATATGGTTGTGATGTGATTTCTTGTTCTCCGACTTTCAGTTTTATGGTCTCTATCACTTTTCTGCTGGTAATAAGCACTGCCTCAGTCTTATGTGTGTGTGTGTGTGTGTGTGTGTGTGTGTGTGTGTGTGTGTGTGTGTGTGTGTGTGTGTGTGTGTGTGTGTGTGTGTGTGTGTGAATCGCTTATAACTTTTGAACGACTAAACCGATCGGAACGAACTAAACGGCGTTCTAAAGAGTTCCCTCAAACTTAGATTTCCTGAGAATTTGAACCAATTCGGACGGATAGATTTTAAGAAATCTTGAAAAATCTCAAAAAAAATAAGAAAAAAATCATTATTGGAAGTGGTTTTTTTGGAATATCTTTTAAACGGCTCGATCGATCATATTCAAAAACTAATCTGCCCTTAAGCTTAAAAAACCACGCCGATCAGCGCTAATCCGGTCAAAATCGGTTGATTCGTTCGAGAGATAGCGTGAACGAAAGATAACCGAAAAAAATGTTTTTTTCACATATCTTCGTCATTTCTTCTCGGATCGTTTTTGATGATATAGAATAATTTCAGAGCTTGAAAAACCGCGTCGATTGCCGCCAAAAACGTGGAAATCGGTTGATTAGTTCGAGAGATATCCTCGACGAAATATTTGGAATTAAGGATTTTTTCAACATAACTCCGACATTTTTGGAATAACTTTCAAACAGCTCTACCGATCGATTCCAAAAACTAATCAGCTCTTAACATCATAAAACCGCGTCGATTGCCACCAAGCTGGTCAAAATCGGTTGATTCGTTCGAGAGATATCGTGAACGAAAGAAAATTGAAAAAAGTGTTTTTTCGGGATTACTCCGAAATTTTCGGTTCGATCAATTAAAACCTGAAAATAACTTATGAGGATAATAAAACTGCGTCGAATGGCATCATCCACGTGAAAATTGGTTGATCCATTTAAAAGTTATTGCGGTTTGAAAATTCCAAAAATAGTGTTCTATGAAACTTCTATCAGACTTTTGAGCTGGAAGAGCTTAAATGCATAGAAATATTATTTCTTCGAACTCAGTGAGCTCAAAATATCAGATAAATTATATTTTGAGCTCAAGAATTTCAAAAATGTCATAAGTACAATTTTAAGCGCCCAGGAATGGAATTAGCGGGAAGTTGTACGGATGGCCTTTATGGTAAACCGCTTTTCTAATTTTTTGTATTGTTTTTGTGAAATCATTGGATATTAACTGTATTAATCATTAAACTTAGTCATTATATTCGTAAATTAAGTCTATAAATTGAGAATTGTATCACAGAATCGTTAAATTATATTTATTTTATGATAGAAATAAAGTTTACGGAAAAAAAATTTTTTCCATTTTTAAAAATTTGACAATTCTTTTTTCAAATAAATAAAAAAAATATAAAAAAAATCGGCCCTGCTCGGGATTGGCAGGGATAGTTGTCAAATTAATTGATGTTTTTTTTTGAGAAAAAAAAAAAAGAAAATGGCGGACTTCGAAAAAATGACGATTTTACTTAAAAAAAACCGATTATTTTATATAATTGATCATGTTAAATTTTTTTCGTATAATTTTTCGAAAAGTTAATTCAAAAACAAAAATTTAAAAAAAAAAAAAGTACCCAAAAGTGAATTTCTAAAAAAGTTATGGCTATTTGAAAATCGAAAAGCCATTTGTTTGAAAAATTCATAACTTTTTTTGGGTTGGATAAAAAAATTTGAAAAAATTCTCAAAAATGTCTTTCAAAGGGTAGAAAAGAATAGTAAAGTTTCAGCTAAATCTAAAGGGGTCGGGTTCAAAAGTGGTCGATTTGGCGTGGAATGCCCCATATCTAGATAGCTGAAAATTCTAGAGTTTAGATAATGTTACTGTAAATAATTTAAATTTCAATAAGAATGATTATTAATACACATAGTTACTGCATAATAATTTTATTCGATTTAACTCACAGGTTAATAAATATTTACAATACGTTTTATTATAAAACGATGTAATTTTTCAAATTTTGTCTAAATTAGCTTTGCAAACTTAAATTTTTTAGCAAACAAACATAATTTTTTACTTTTAAAATTTTTTCTTCGATTTCATCCAGTTCAACCGCTACTAAACGAAATGTCTCTCGAATTTCTGTAATGTAATCTAATTGAGTTTTCTTTGTGTCAGTTATGGTCACTATAATAGAGTCTACAGAGCAGGGAATCAATTCTCGTATAATTGCAAATGAAAAATTTCTAAATGATATAAAAAATTGAATTATACCAAAACATTGATTATTATTCCATGAAATACAAGAGTTGCACCTTTTTTTTTGTCGGAGATAATTTTCTGAACTATAAATTTTGGAATCAATAGATGCTCTGGCATAGATTGTAAATATTTCCCGCTCTAGAATGTCAACATCTATCAAAGTTACGTTATGTATCGCTATCAGTACTGGTCTCGTAACTAATTTATTACTTAATAAGTTCATCATAATAATTTTACTTCTGTCTACATTTTTCTCAAGATTAAATTTTGATTTCAAGTTATTCTTTGCATTAAATAATTCCAATGTATTCGCAATTTCTTGATTTATTTTATTAGGACCGTGTATGCACTTCAAAATTTCTCTATTTCCATCTTCAAATGAAAACGCTGACCAGCCTGATATTGGACCCCATAGTCTGACAAAACGTGGTAAGTGAATGAGCGTGTTCAGCCGAACTAAGTCCTGAGTAAACTTAGTAAGATATGTATAGTATAGTAGATAGATTTATGTATAGCAGGGAATGCTTTGACTATACTTAGGCTAACTAAGTTTACTCAGGACTTAGTTCGGCTGAACACGCTCAATGAGTTGGTGAAGAATAAAAGTGCATTTATTCAGTCCATACAGTCTTTCAAATCCTGTGCAAAACTTTTGAATGAGTTCTTCTGCTTCATTAATTTCTTCTGTCTTAATTTGTTTTTGTAAATAAATTGCCGTTGCCTTAACGAGAAGAAGAAAGTTTTCATAGTATTCTTCAATTAATTTTTCTCGTAGTTAAACAGGGAAATAAAGTAAACAAAGATTCAAAATTTCAGGGCTCTTGTAAAAAGACTTATACTTCAGAATTCTTGGTACTCTGTGGATGTTATCAGGAACACAGATGTCATTTATTTCCCGGCTTAATATTTTTAAGCTTCCTTTTTTAAAAAATGATAGTGACCAGATTTGAATCAGTGATTTAAATACGCCAATGAGCCCGTGCATATATTCAGGAACGAAACCAGTAGAGAGATCAAAATATGGTATTAATCCAGCGATGGAAACCCCTTTGATACGTCATCTTGGTCTTTTCTCATTTCTTCATTTTTATCTATTAAAGAACACAAATTTCTTCGCTCAAAGTGATCCTTTAAGGTTGGAAGTATATCATATTCGACAAAAATATCTACTTCTGAAGTCAGTTGACAATCTTCACACAGAATCATTTTGATGAGTATCAAACTCACCTCTGTAATGCCCACATCCTTCACAGATTACACGTTTGTGAATCGCAGTGTCAAACGAAGGTATCTCAGACTTCAGAAATTTTTTAAATTGATATTTATTTCTAGGGACATTATTTGGTTGAGGTAAGATCTTGTGGAACAATTGTAAAAGTTCTTCTGTTGCTTTTTTAGTCAGTGAGTTCGTCAGTGAAAATTCTAGAATTTTAAAAATGAAATTACCACAATTTATTGATGAATCGTTGTACAGGGGCTTTTCTGACTACGCCACATCATCTTCATCTTCACTTTCATTGTTAGACGAATCATTATCATCATAAGAAGCATTATTTTTTGAGGAATATGAATGCAAACCAATATTTTCTTGACAGTTATTATTATTATTCGAATCATTTGAATTATTTTCTTCAATTATCTCATTCGGATTGTAACTTGTGCCTGAAATATTTTGTTCCATGTCATTTATTTCTTCCTTCCTCTTTTGCACTCGATCTCTTGTTCTTTTAGGAATTTTATGCTATGCAAATAAATAAAAATAAATTATTGCATTCAAATCACCAAGTACTGCAAATATTTCTAATTACTATTTTTTTTATCAACTATCATTTATTTTTAATCGACGAAATTATATATTTATATATTAAGGATTTAGCCTTCAATAACTTAGGATAGACTCTATAATAATAATACCCTGATTAAAAAAAAGTATTGAACTTATGCAACTGTATATCTATATTGTATGTATATACAGATATACAGTGTGTGTAATTCAATACTTTTTCAATACTTTTCAATACTTTTTTTTAATCAGGGTATTATTATTATAGAGTCTATCCTAAGTTATTGAAGGCTAAATCCTTAATATATAAATATATAATTTCGTCGATTAAAAATAAATGATAGTTGATAAAAAAAATAGTAATTGATTATCGTAATCAGCAAGGATATGAAACTAAACAACTAACTAACCTATACTCTGAATTTAAATTTATATAATTAAAAATGCAATATTTAATATCGGAAGATAATCATCGTTTTTACATACGAGAATTAAAGTCAATCGTCCAAGAGAGTGAAGCAATCATAACGGTAGGATCTAAAGTGTTATTCTATGATCCTGAAAATGTGAGTCAAAGAAAACAAAAATTATTGAGTGGAATAGTTATAAAAATGTCTCGTGAGTACTCTTACATATTAATAAATTATTTTTTGTCATTTTCATAATTCTACTGTTAATGAACTGAATTTAATAACATTTTGTCATATATTGAAGATATTTGTTGTTATTTAAATAATAAATTAATATTCTAGGATCGGAAAAATTACTTAAAAATGAATTAGATAAAATCGTGTTGCAAAGGGAAAAAGTTCAAGGGAAACCTGACAAAAGCACTCCTGATAAATTAAGTCAGAAAAAATTTGTACAACCAGCAGAAAAAGGGAAAAAAATTAATACGAAAGTAAGTATTATTTGTGCTTAATTTACACTAGCAACCTTGCAGTCAATACGTGACTGTCGTTACTTTGTAGCTATAAATAATTTTAATTTTTCTTTATTATTTAATTAATTTCGTTATATTGCTCTGTACTTTTTTATCCATTTACTTTTTTAAAGATAATAAGCTCATCCCGATGTTACACTCATCAAGAGCTTTCATTTGAGTACCCACATGCATTTTAATATATTTTTCATATATACATACATATAATGTATATAAATATATGAAAAATTGATGTGGGTACTCAAATGAAAGCTCTTGATGAGTTTAACATCGCGATGAGCTCTTGCTTATTTTACGTAGGATCCGCAAAAAGAAGTCCAACGTATCAACAGCTATCGAAATATGGAATATCTTCAAAAAAATAAACCGCACTGGAGATTTAATCTACCATTCAATCAAGAATTTGATGAAGAATCTCAAAAAGCAAATAACGTAATGTTCTATTTTATTTTTATTTGTAATTATCTTAAAGAGAATTAACTTTCAGGATCAAGAGGTGTTTAACAAACAAAAATTATAGTTACACGAATTTTTGGTTAATGATTTAAAGCCAATGTTAACTGACGTACTATTTAAAACAAATAATATAATAGATTTCCTCGGTTGTTCTACTGTTACCTCTTCAAACACAAATTATGCGACTAACTCACAAGGACTTTTAATTAAACATCCTACTGATCTACAACAGCATCATCTATTCCAGTTTTCGAATCCTTCTAACTCTTTGGAATGTCTCACTTCTGATGATAATAATAATTCATCAGAGAATTGTCAACAACAAATTTCGCCAGTTTCAACAGGACACCAGAGTAGAGTTTTAGATCTGCGTGGTAATTTTTATTTAATTTTTTCATAATGTTTCTTATTAAATAAAAAAATTTCCAGACTCACGTCAACAGAATTCCGAATATCATCGAAATCCGTCATTGATATCATTTTATAATCACGAAGCATCCATGTTAAGTCGCCCCAAACCGAAAATCATGAACACTCAAAACCTATCTAACCAATTACAAAAACTTCATCCTACACAGAAAGTAAAAAATAATTATAATAATTATCGAAATCCACCAACTAAAAATTTTCAAGGATTACCAATCCCTTCGATGGGCCAGAGTCAGATTCGTACTTTTCCAAGTAGATTTTTATCAATAACTTATCTTTTAACATACTAAACCTAATTAATTTTCAGCAATGGACCCTGATAATTTACCACCTGTATCAATGAATAAATCTACAGAAGAATCTCCAACATATCGTCACAATTTATCTTCAGCTCATTTTTCTCATCGTGAACCTCACCAAACAAGTCAAGTATATTATAATCAACCAATCTCGCACAAAAATGGATCATCAGCAGTGAATAATCATTATGATTTACCCCAATATCGTCAACACTCATCAGAACATGAATACGCAGCTATCGCCGACCCTGAATTTTATGAGATCCCATCAGAACAACTCTGAAATGATCGCCCCGCAAACGAAAAATACCAATTATCACCACCGCTTATTGATCACTCTTCCCCAATAAATACAAGTTTAAGTAAAGATGTTGTCTCTAAAAATTTAAGTTTTGATGAGTCTGGTGTACAACATCGTTCATTACGGGCTATGTCTACTGTAAGTCGTTCACCGATTTCACCACCACAAGATAAACGTCGCAAACGTAAGAAACAATATTTATTTTCAAATTCACTTCTCACAAAAATTAAGGGAGTAATAAAAAACTCTAAATTTTTGTGAGATTTTTAACAGGCTGTAACTTGTAGAGAAATTATGGTACAGTAAATCAAAAAAAAACAAATGATAGCTCTCAGTATCTATTTTTTATATCTGAGTTCTAAAAATTACAAAAAAATCTTTTTTTGATTGAAAATTTTTTTGATTTTTTTTTAGCCTACGGCCTTGGAAAATTTTTTTTTGACTCAACTTTTGTATGGACTGGATAACTTGTTTAGTTAGCTTTAATTTTTTTTTAAATACCTCGATACGAGCATTTTTTGCTGAGATATCGGTGTTCGAATGAAAAGAGATCATTTTGTCTTTGATTATCAATACCTCAGCAACCAATGATCATACAGAAAATTTAAGGTGGGTTTCGAAAACTTCAATTTTTTTGAAAACTTGAAGTTTTTTTAAAAAACAAATTAAAGCTAGACAAATTTTTTTATTTGCTGTACCTCAATTTTTGTACAAGTTACAGCCTGTTGAAAATCCCTCAAAAATTTAAACTTTGTTTTGTTCCCTTAATTTTTTTGAGTAGTGTATGTAATAAATAACTAATAAATTGAGTATTTTTAATTCAAAAAAGGCTTACGTATAACAAGCTCAATGTCGTCTAATGATGGAAAGCGCGAAATTGACATTACGCTATCCTGACGGCAAATCAGCTGGCACTTTGGAATTAATACCTCAAAAGGGTATATATGTTAACACTCAAGGTTTAAAGAACTTAAAAATCTCTACCAGCGATTTGAGAGGCTTTGCCAGAGGACTGTTAACTTTAATTTTCACAGACGAGGCAATGAAAACTTGCACCCTATCGGACTCTATTAGAGGGGAAAAAAAAGGAAATGATCCAAGTGGCGAAACCCACCATTATTTATTTAGATCAAAATGGATTGAAGGTTTTGATGGGTAATAAAATAATAATTTGAAGTTTGAAATTTCTTCACAGTTTTTTTAACTTCCCGCTAAGAAAATTTTAAGTGTTTAAATATGGAATTAGCGAGAAGTTGCAGGGATGGCCTTTAGAGTCAACCGTTTTCCTAATTTTTTCTTCACAGTTTAAAGAAAATTTTATTGTGTAGTATTTCCTTTAACCAATTAATTTATTTTCATTTTAGAATATTTAGATATTTATAGAAAGGAGCAGGGATGGAAGAAATTGGATGAACAAACCATCAGACAAAGTCTTCGCAATAAACTAGTTGCTAGCAGAGAATAGGAGATTTGACTCTAAAGTTTGTGTTGGGAAAGTTATTTTTTTCTTGGTTTCAATTTTTATTATCAATACTTATTCATTTAATTTTCATTTATATTTACTTTTAAATATGGCATATTATAATAAAATAATTTTGTAAAAACCTTAAATCTTTATTATTAAATATTAATATGATCACCTCTTCTAGCTACTTCTAACCACTTCTTTAAAGTTTAAAATTTTAAATTGGACTGAGTACACCACATCACGTTCAAGTAAGTTCGTTTGATTGTTTAATTATACTTCCAGCCTCATATATGTCTAAACTGTAGATATTCAGACACTAACAAAAAATTTCTTATTAACTTCCCGCTGAGAAAATTGAAAATTTTCCACTTAAAGGAAGTTATTGATTTCGGTCCAATTTTTGAAAGTCGAGTTTTCATCGGATCTTCACATTTCGAGGTCTCATGAAGACATTCTGACTATACTAAACTTAGATCGAATTAGATTTGAGAGTTAATTCATCGAGCCGTTCAGAGAAAAATTTGAATTTTTATGTTTTTTTTTTTAAACTTGAGCTTGAAGAGCTTGAATATTAACAACAAAACATATTTTAAGGCGCTTCGAATTTAAACTTTAGCGGGTAGTTCTAGGGTTGACATGTGCAGTCAACCGATTTCTATTTTTTTTTTTATTCAAAAATTCAAAAATAAATTCTTACTTGTTGTTTCTCCTAGACGGGTTCAGCAGGACTACTTTAGGAAATTTATTATTGTGTTGACTGTTCATTAGTTTGTTAGCTAAACTCCAGAATTTTCAGATTTTCAGTTTACATTATAATGCATTATATTGCAATATAATCTCATTATATTACAATATAATCTGATTATATTCCATTATATGCGCAAATTATTATATTCAGATTATATTCGAATATAATATTTTTCTACATGGGCTATGTCTGTATAATCTCTCGGTGGTGCGGCATCAGCCAGGCATTGAAGTCGGCTGAAGGTCACCGCCATTTCGCGTTCGGTCACAATTATTAGTTTAAGTATTGCGTCGTAGAATTTACTTAATTATATGGAAATTTATTTATTAGAATTTACTCGGAATATTATTTAAAGTATTATTGTAAAATATTATTTAGAAAATGTTTGAGAATTTATTGAAAATAAGATGCAGAGTTTATTTAAGAATTTATTTAAAAGAAACGTCCAGAATAAAAACCAGAAGGAAGTTAAGAGCAAGTCAGGAATAATTACTAAATAATTGATTAACAAAACCAGGAATTATTTCGGATTGTTAGTTAACTACGTAGGCAGAGCTTGGATTGACTTTACCAGGAATAATTTCGGTTGGTCAATTTATGACTTTGGTGCCATGTAAAACAATTTGTCTTTGATAATCGAGTTTGGTTAAATTCATTTAATTAATTGCTTAATGTAAAATCAGTAAAATATTTTAGAGGAATTTTAGTAAAATCAATGGAAGTAAAATTTATTAAATTCGGGAAAATAATTTATAACAAAATTTAATTGTTTAAATAAAATCATTGGAAATAAATTTAAAATCAGTCAAATTGCAAGAAAATTGTTCTTGTAAATTTATTACTTAAAAGTCGAAAACGAAACTTGTAAAATTTCGTTGAGGAAAAAAATACCGAAAATGTGCGACAAAGACGCCAGACCGAGCGAGAGCGTCAGCCATCTTGTCCCGCGCAAAGCGCTGAGTAGAGGACATTCAAAGTCGAGACTAAAATCGCACTGTGTTGCTAGGCCGAATATAATCCTCAAATAAAATAAAATAAATGCTAAGTTTTTCATGCAACATAATAGAACGTAAAATAAAATAACGTAGAGAAAATAAAACTTGATTATTGAAAGACAAGTAAAACAGTTTAGTAAAAATAAATTACATAAAATCAATTGACCAATTTTAGTTCTTAATTAAATAAATAATTTAATAAATTCTGGTAGAATAAAAGAAATTAAACTGATAAATTCTGGTAATATAAATGAGACGAAGGAAAGTAATTTAACACAACAGCTTATAAAGAAATTAAGTAAATTCAGTACATTAAAATTGTAAACACTCGGAAGTTACCAACACGTTCTTGGCAGATTATTAAGACCTCTGTCAATTGATTTTAACTTATTAATACAAGATACGGAGACCTCTTGATATTAAATATTTAATTGTTGTATTATTAAGACCACGACATTAAATTAGTTAATGATTTTAATTTAGAAATTAAGATTAGGAATTTTAGAAAGAAATTAGGAACTCGGGTTTTGTAATTTGTTGAAGGGATAAATGGATCCAGGCATCAAGTCGGATTTCAGTTGAATTTGGGAAATAAATTTGTAGAATCCGGAGTAATATTTAGTGGGTTTGGAAATAATAATGTGTGTGGGTTTTAGTGTTAAGTATTGTAGTGTTGCCTAGGGATTCATGGTATCCTCCTCTGCTTCCTGGGCACACTTAGAGTCCTTTGAAGGTAAAATTAACTATGCATAAATTGACTTTATAGTGACATGATCAATAATTTTCAATAATTATCAATAATTATTGAATAAAACTAATTCGAGTCCATGAGCCGTTTCAAAGTTAAGCAAAGATTTAGAATTTTTTTGTTATAATCGTTTTAGTCAAAAAAACCGCTTGCACTAGAGAATTTTTAAATTCAGATTCAAAGAATCAGATACTTAAAGCTACAATTTACTATCTTTAAATTTGCTATATGATTGTTTTTATTAAAAAGTTGGATTTTTATTTAAATACTGTAACCTTAGGGACTAGTGAATTCACCTGTATTTGTAGCACATGTATCAAAACACATAGCTTTGATACGGTCGGAAACGTTCCATTCATCAATGGTATCTTTAATAGCGGTGGCTTGATTTAAGCCTGTCCCTCGTTCAAGTTTTGGTACTCCTAACAATTGTTGAGTATTTACACCTGATAAAATTATGGGAAGTCTTTCAACTTTGTTTCGACCAGTGATGTCAGGCAGCATCTTTCCATCCCAATGGATAACAGTGGAATCAGCGATTCGTAACTCAGCTTTTAAATCTTGCGCAATCTCTCGTCTAACTATCTCTCGATTTCGATGAATTGAACGGTGACTAGCAGTGATATTATTTAAATGTTTATATCCTAAAGCCAATGCAATTGCATAGATAAGAGGTGCTGCTCGTCTACTACTAATGTTACCTCTATCCAATGCTGCAACAACTTCTGTTGTCATTAATTTCAACCTCTTAGGTTTTGGTTCAAGATGTAGTTCATCAGAAAAGTTAGATGTATTAGAACATTCAGAGTGATTGGATACAATAGAAACAGAGGAGTTTTGAGAAAGAGGCAATACACAGTCTAAAAATGAAAAATTTAAGAAATGCAGCATAGAGAAAGATAAGAAAATACACTAGTCGGAAATATTAAGGGATATAAAAATATGCTAAATTTTTGGGTGATTTTCAACGAACTTTTATTTCGAGTAAAATGATCGTACAACAAAAAAAAGCAATTGTAGCTC